CCCCTCCTCCCCCGCCCCCCAAAACCTCTGGGAAGGAAACAGGGCTGGAGATTGAGTAAATAATCAACCATGCCTACACTATGAAACTTCCCATAGAAATCTCTAAATGATGATTTTTGAAGATCTTCTGGGTTGGTGAGCACATCAAAGTACTGGGAGGGTGACCCACTTAGAGAGTACATGGAAGTTCTATGCCTCCTGCCCCTGCCCCCACTTTGCCCTATGCATCTGTGGGCAAAAAAAGTAATCTCACAGGTAATCCGATTATAAATTCCTAACTGGATAGATCCTGGTGGGTAGTCATGCCCTGGGCATAAATGTTTAGCTTTGCCTTAAGAAAGCTCAGACCATTATTCTTGTGCATCTAGGTTAACACACCTTTGAAATAAGCATAACCACCCTCAAGAGAGCACCTAGTCTTATTAATTATCCTGTAATCCAGTCTCTGCTTCCTTAATGCTCCCCTTAATTTCAAATGCATAAAAGAAGCTGCAAACTGTCATTCTGAACTTTTTTCCGTCTGTTGAGATCTTGCTTCCAGGCATATCCTCTGTTCTACTCAAATAAATTTTTATAAAAATTCTCTACAGGTTTGGATGTTCTTACATTTACACATCCTTCCCATTTGGCCGTTCCTGATTTAGAGATTTGGCTGGTGATAAGAAGGAAAATGACTTCTCAGGTCTAATGGAAAAGTAGGTAAGAAAGAACCGATGAGTAATGTAGGTAGAGGGATGAAAATTCTAAGGAAGAATAAAAAAAAAATAGAAATAATAATAATAAAAAATTTGTAACAGAAATGAAGACTACCTTCGATGGGTTCATCAGTAGACTGGACACAGCTAAGGAAAGAATCAGTGAGCATGAAGGTATGTCAATATAAAATTCCCAAACTAAAAAACAAAGGAAAAAAATGGGGGGAAAAAAGACAGAATATTCAAGAACTATGAGACAACTAAAAAAGGTATAACATATACATAATAGGAATATGAGGAGAAAGAAAGGAACAGAAGAAATATTTGATGTAATGATTGCTGAGAATTGTCTAAAATTAATGAGAGCCACCGAACCATGGATCCAGGAAGCTCAGAGAATAGTAAGAAGAATAAATACCAAAAAACCCTATATTTTTGCATTTCATATTCAAACTACAGAAAACCAAAGACAAAAAAACTTTGAAAGAATCCAGAAGAACACCAATAAGAAATATCAGAAAGACAAATTAAGCAAACAATTCCATTTACGATTACATCAAAATATACCTAGAATTAAAGGTTACAAGGAGGTAAAAACTTGTATTTGGAAAACTATAAGACTTTGATGAAAGAAATTGAAGAAGATACAAATAAAGGAAGAATATACCATAATCATGGATAGGATGAATCAACATTATTAAAAAGTCCATACTACTCAAAGAAATGCACGGATTCAATGCAACCCCTATCAAAATACCAATTGCATTTTTCACAGAATTAGAAAGAATAATCTTAAAATTTATATGGAACCGTAAAAGACCCAAATAGCCATGGCAATATTGAGAAAGAAGAAAAAGTAGGAATAATCACACTGCCTGATACCGTACTCTTCTACAAGGCTATAGTAATCAAAAGACCATGGTACTGGCATAAAAAGACACATAGGACAATGGAACAGAACAAAGAGCCCAGAAATAAATTCACACCTATATGACCATTTAATCAATGACAAGGAGGCAAGACTATACAAGTGGGTAAAGAC